TTCCTCTGAAGGGGACAACACAGGCTGCCCTCCTTAAGCACAGCAGTCTAGGATTATAACAAGCCAGACCAACACCAKTCCAAATCYAGTCTCTGATGCTTAGCAGTTTTGTGGCTTGGACAGCTATTTTGACCTTGCTAAGCAGCCTCAGTTTCCTCATCTGTGAAATGRAAGAAATAATACCCAGTGTGATGAAATGAGATGATGTGGAAAGTGTAATGAGCCAGTGACTGACCCATAGCAAACGCTGAAAGCATCAGCTTCTTTCTCTCTCCCTTCCACAGACACAGAAGGAAGGTGATTTGGTTCAGGACCAGAAACCAGGACCTCTCCCTGATGAAGCAGTCCCCCATTGTGGGTGGCCACCTATGATTGCACAGTAATTCCTGGCTTACCTACATGACATGAGGTCCCTGAGAGCCTTTGAGCTGGTGGTGACTACAAATCACTAGGGAATAGACACAGTAGCACATCTGCTGTGGCCAAATCCCAGCTCTGCCAATACTGGCCATATGACTCTGGATAACATCCTTAACTTCTCTGTGCCTCAGTTTGCCCATCTGTTAAATGGAAATACTAAAATCACCAACCTCGGCGGGTGGTCAGGAGGAATACATGAATTAAATCTGTAAGTACTTTTAAAAAGGCCTAGCACAGGGCTGGGGCTGTGGCTCAGTGGTGGAGCGCATGCCTAGCACGTGTGAAGCACTGGGTTTGATCCTCAGCACCACATAAAAAAAAGTAAATAAAATAAAAGTATTGTGTTCTTTTTTTTTTTTAAAGGCCCAGCACAAATAACGCTACACATTTATTTAATAAATACTTGCTGAATACTCCCCTTGGTCCCAGGGTGGTTATGAGGAATGCTATGAATAGATGCTGCCTCTGTTCCAATAGGTTAAGTAACCTCAAGCCTCACTTCTTAACCTCAGCCTCACTTCTTCTCTCTGTAGGCTTTTGTCTCCCYGGTACCCTCCTTATTGTCCAGCATCTTTCTTCTCAGGCCTAGCTGAGAGGAAAAGCACTCCCCATGGGAGGAATGTATCTGAGGACAAGCACAGTGTGTAGAGGAAGTGAATGGCCGTCCATGGTCTACACGGAGGGCGTCCCTGAGGAATTGACATGGGTCAAAACATGGGATCCTGTTGGAAGAACTTTGGGCTCATCTTTAGCCTGGCGTCAACCCTTTCTGCTTGGTTGCTGGTGCTGGGAGGTGGAAGACTCCTRGGACGACAGTGTTAGGGAGAAAGGAGGGCTTTGGGGTTGCTGCCACACCATTGCTGAGCTGACCAGAGGAGCACAAGGCCAGCCGGGTGCACTAGGCTCTGGACACAAGCATTTCTGTGCTCTCCTCACCAGCCCCAAAGCTGCCCTGCCTCAGCAGCCGCCCAGCAAAAAGGAGGAAGGAAAGGAATCCAACAAAGAAAGATGCTGTGTTCTGAGTTACCCACTGGGGGGAGTATTTTAACCAGAGAAGGCCCAGAGGAGACACTCAGTGAGGACATTTGTGCAGTGGAGACAGGCAAGCTAGGACTTGTCCAGAGTCACGCCCATAAGGACCCTCCTGGCAGGGGACCTTGTCACCCTTCCTGGAGTACAACCCCGTGCTGTGCTTAAAAGGGAATCTCAAAACAAACTTCCACATGAAAGAGCCAGAAAGGGGCCAGACATCAAGAGTCTGATCCTGTTTTTAACACTGAGAAATGTGAGAGCTGAGGAGGGAGGAGGGCTGACCTAGGCCAGGTGGGTGGACCAGGGCCAGGTCTCCTGACTTCTTGGCCTTGGCTCTTAGTTGCTCAGATAGACACCTTGCACTTAGGCGTGACCTGGGAATGTAGGTATGAACACGTGTGTTTTATTACAAAATAAAATAGTTCGCAGGAGAAAACTAATGTTGGCCTAGGGAAAGGAAGAAGTATACAGAGGCTCTACTCCTAGAGCTGGTGGGAGGCCTTGGGGCTCAGTGGGGGAGGCACCCTGCCCGCACCCTGGAGCCAACGTCCTAGGCAGCTTACCCTTGGCCTCACTCCTTGCCCTCTGTCAGCTTTCTGCTCCCAAACCTCCTTAGGGATGCTTTCCCCCAGCACCAGGCCACCAGTCACTAACTGGACCTCTGCCTCCCTCAGCTGTTCTTCATATAACTCTACTTGATACCATATTGTGCATGCCCTTACATACATTTTGTTTTTGTTTACCATTGTCTCTCCTCTAGGATATAAACTCATGAATTCAGGTTTACAATGTATCTATCCCCTGTACACAGAAGAGTGTCTGTGACTTAGAAGATGCTCCATAAAATTTGTTTAATTGACAAGTGAACCAAAGGCCGTGGCTTTAAATCCCCATTTGCTCGTAAAATGCAGTTATCATGAAAATCAAATAATAGATACAAACTGGCTTTGCCACCTGTCRAGAATAAACAAATGAAAGGGACTATGTTAGATGAAGGGATTCTTGATGGTGCCCATGTAGAAACTGTTAGAAAAACCGGGACCCATGTCATATGTTGTGACAACAATTAAGTACTAACGGCACATAAAAATATACACATCTCAGCAGACACACAGAAACTCGGAGTGCGTGCCATCCTGGCTAAGACTGGAAGGAAATAGCTGATTTGCAGAAATGCAAGAYTGACCTAGAAATGAATGAAGCTTTCATTGTTTACCAAAGTTGGCGAGCAATAATACAAAGAAAAAACAAAAATATSGGAAAATAAAGGGCAGGCAGAAAAGAAGGCTGGTACATAAATTGTAAACCCTGAAAACCTGCWTCTTCCTAAGGGTGGGACATGAATACAGACCCTTCTACCTACCCATGATGGATGCACAGGGAAACCTGATCCCCTGTTCCAGCATGGCAGGGCTACGCAGTCTCAGGGTTGGGCTACAAGCCCCAAACAGACCATGATTTAGGGACGAGAACTTTCCACAAGGGGGCTTTCAATCAGAAGCCAGACTCCAATTCTAAATTAACATTTAAAAATTTTTCCCTCTGCCTTGTAGTTTAGTCAATTGTAAGTCAATAGGAAATTCAATGAATCTGACTTTCAATGTATCCCGATTTTTCAGCCACAGAAGAAACACACACACACACACACACACACACACACACACACACACACACACTAAGAAAAGTGAAGCAAATTCTAAATAAAGGCAACCCAATGAGATTGAGACAACTGGGACCCATTTTGGGAAGCTGACCTCAAAAAGACAAGACATACGGTGTTTCACTCAGGAGTCTTTACCCCCTTATAAAGAAAGCAGAGATCTCACATGCTTGCCAATGATCTGGAAAGCTAAGCGTGCCTTGGAATGGTTATGAGCCTTGGCTCGGTCTTGAGAAAGTGTAGAGGCCACACTATTGGCAATCACTGAATGCTCTCAAGGCGATCAAGGACGGGTTTCCAAGGCCCTGGCTTCCTGGTCCATACATTCCCTCCTCTGCCGGAACCAGCATTCGGCTCCTGCCTGCAGCAGAGAGTCCTGCCCAATGGGGAGAGGCCGCTGGGCTTTTGCTTTCCTTCCAGCCTCTGCAAAGGATACAGTGACTGATTTTCCAACCCAAGGAAGACAAAAACTTGGCCAGAATTGTAAGGGTCAGGCTCCTCCAAGGAGTGAGAGGATATGACTGGACCACGATTAGACCTAAAGAGATTGTCAAGAAGTCACTTAAGAAAAGAGGTGCCTGCAGGGGGTTKGCCTAAGAGAGAGAGGTGAAGCAACAGGAGCCCCAAACTTTGAGGAAGAGTTGAATTTTCAGGCTGATTGTGGAGTTTTGCAATCTCGGATAAGCTGCTGATCCCTCTGGAGCTCCATCAGTTCATCTGTMAGATGAGCATGAGTCACYTCTGCCCCCAACCACTTGCTGAATTTAAGGAAAGAGTGGGCAGGAAAGAGTCCAGAAACAGTTAACATTGGAGACTGACAAATAGTCGTAATAAGGAGTGTTCTACCCCCTGCAGTGAGAATGCAGTATAACAGCTGCTATTTTTGAGTCTGTACTTGGTGCCATGTTTTTCCATCTATGTGTTCCAAACCTTCTAGTTAAAATTCTTCCCACTTTCCACAGGGGCATCTAAGAAGATCCTCCAAAGTCCATCAACTCTCTAACTCTGATGTGTCCAGCTCTGAGAACCTCTAGACCAGCCTGTCTGTAATGAAGAGGAAAGGGGCAACATGGTGCATGAAGAGTTAACATAAAAAACAAAAGGAGTTGATAGCAGAAAATCAAGAGGGTTTCTAAGGGAGACTGCTAAAGCTTGGTTTTATTTAATTTTGAAATGAGGAAGGTTATCCTGGCATTGGCAGGACTCAGCAKTAGGGGAGGGTAGTAGGGAAGGAGCTGAGGCCCCAAACAGGTGCGGAGCCTCTGGAGCCCTGTGCGTGCAGGGCTGGTGGGAAAGGGTGTCCCTATGTCCCTGGCCTAGGGCCTGAGAAGGCCAAGTGAGCACGGTCAGGGCTGGATTTCCAAGAAGAGTTGCAAAAACAGGTATGGAATGTGATTCCACCTCTGGGCTCTGCTGGGTTCCCGTGTTACAGTGAGAGTTGTAGCGCAGCCAGGAAAGGACAGGTTGCATCCTCCTCCAGGGGAACTCAGCAAGGCGATGACGTGAGTGGCATTTTCATTTTGCATATCCATTTTCTTATTGGCACCATCATCGCTTATTTCTTTCTCTCTCTTATTATTTTAAATTCCTCCCTCTCTAGTTTCTCTCTCTCTTCTTGGGCTTTTCAAGCCTCCTTATTTCACACGTGCAATTCCTTCCTTCTCTCCTGCCCTGCTGCCTCTCCACTATGCTGACACACTGTATCAGTGAATCCCTCAACTGTGTCCTATCTAACTAACTTTTTTATTCATTGCATGATTTATTTTTAGCTTGAAACAACTGCATCCTAAAAATGGAGCTCCTAATGAGACAAGGGGTGGGCAGAGCTATGTAAGGTATCTGGCTGGGGCTTGGCCTCCCAGCCTCCCTGCCTGGCTCTTACTTTATGCGCATGTGTGCAAGAGTCTTGGCTCTTTGTCCTGAGCCCAAGATTACACAGCTCCTGGGACCCAAGGAGGTCAGGAGAGATCACCTTCTCTCTGCTCCCTACTTGGCTCACCAAAGCCTTCAAGAGTTTTCCATCCTTTCTCCGGCACACAATATTTTGGGGAAGCAGAAACAAAACTCTTCCCAATGAAGAGAACTCACCTGCTTGTTGTGGGGGTCTATCTACTGTCCTCCTGCAGGGCAGAAGAGGGGCTTAACTTCCCCACCTATGATGGCAAGGACCGGGTGGTGAGCCTTTCTGAGAAGAACTTCAAGCAGATTTTGAAGAAATACGACCTGCTCTGCCTCTACTACCATGAGCCAGTGTCTTCAGATAAAGTGGCACAGAAACAGTTCCAACTGAAGGAGATTGTGCTGGAGGTGAGTCAACAGGGTGGGCGGAACACCCTGATGTAAACTGGGTGGGGGCGTCTATCCAGGGCTTGGGATGTGGGAAGGAGGGTACAGGGAACGGATACTGAAATCTATTGCTTTTTTTTTTGTATCCTATAAAGTGAAGATGTCCTTGCTGCAAAGCAGGGCAGGGGCGGGGGTGTGAACAAGGAGGGATGGGTCTAAACTCTCAAAGTGGAGGGGACTGAGCCTGTGGCACCACACTGGTCTGATCTAAAGTTTTCACATCGTGGTTCTCTTATTCTTGTYATCTCATCCACTGTTCTTCCAAAAGAATGTTCAAACTATTATTAAAACTGTTGGCTGAAAAATTGGGGGGCTGCTGGTAGGTTTCATTCGGCGTGCCAATCCCCCACTCTTTGCTCCCTCAAGTCTCCCCTAGATCCTGCAGAAAGAAGACTCATTCGACCTTGCCTGTCTTCCCGGGTCAGATGGAGAATGTCACTAAATAGTTTTTCTCTCTGATTCGTTTTTAGGCAGCACTACAGAGTGTGGATGTGTGAGYCTCATGTTCATTAATGGGGACTTGTTTCTTTCTCAGAAAGTTCTTGGTGTGAGCTTAAGGCAGATGCTGAAGTCACTTCTTATTTTATCTGCATGACGTGGCCTGCTGGTAACCTGGCRCTGGGGCCGCTTCCAATCCTTTGCCAGGACCCTAACAACTGTCCTGCAGCACCCCTGCAGAGCTAAAGACTTTCACCCTTTAAGAGCTCCCAGGCTGTCAGGCATCCTAGAAGACACCAAGTGTCYCCCCCAGTCCCCAGTCTGTTGAAAGAGCTATTTGATAATTCTGCAGTTGATTAGCCGGTGCAGTCAGAGAGCTCAGGTTAATCAAATATCTTGATTAACAGAATTAGCACAGAGAACCCATGTGGGCTTAAGTTCTCAAAAAAAAAAAAAAAGTTACTGACTATAATAAAATTCAGCAAAACTACCCTAAATGCATCCAAATAACTTGAAAGATTTATAAAGCCCTTCAGAATTCTAAGTGTCTCCTGGTCATCAGAGAGCGCTGGTGTTTTAAAAATATCACCACTACCATCACTACCATTGCATTTTCCCTCAGGCTCCACCCCSGGGGGCTGAATGTGCAAGTTCAGTTCTCTCTTTGGTTTGCAAGGGAAGAGGAAGCAGGGCTGGTGATTAGGTTCTTTGTACTACAGAAACGGGAAAATCACAGGCTGGAAAAGAACAGGACAGGGATGGTGGCTGCTGCAGAGCCCAGGAAATCAGCACTTACACTGTCATCTCCACCTCCAACTGCCATGCTCAATTACTGAGAGGCAAGCCATAAGGATTCTACTGTATATGCTCATCACTGTCCAGTTAGCCTAGACCTAGAAACGAATRCCTTTAGGTGGCCACACAAGCCATGGCATGCCTTTCTGATTCCCTATCATATTAAATTGCATGCGTGTACATATACATGTGTGTATGACTATATGTGTGATTCCCTATCATGTTAAATTAAACATATGTATGTGTGTGTGTATATATGTGTGTGTGTGTGTGTGTGTGTGTGTGTGTATACCCCAAGTATGTACCTCCCCAACGAGTTAAGTTCTGGGCCCCCATCCAAAATCACGAGAAGGGGCTTTCTCTGGGCTCCCCATCCTTCCAGACACCTTTGATCCAAAAGTACATCTTCCTGCACAGGTGCCAGGCCTGGGAGAGACAGATGAAGGGGTGTTCAGCACAGGAGCTAGCCTGAGATTTCTTAGGCTCCTAGAGCAGTAATAGGGCATGATTAGGGGAACTTGCTGCCAGAGCTCTGGATTTAAGTTCTGGCTTTGCCTCTGTTAGGCACACGACGTAGAGAAGGTTCCTTAATTTCTTGGAGCCTCATTTTCTTACGGGTAAATATGGAAAAAAGAATAACTCTTATACAGGCCTTGGGAAGGTTAATAATAATTAACATTCATGGACTGCTTGCTGTGTGTAGGGATGTTCAAAGCACTTTGTATGCATTAACTGATTTAATCTTACAATAAAGGTATGAAATGAACACAGTTACTGTCCCCTTCTGCGGATAGGAAAATGGAGGCACAGCTTCCATTTTCCAATTGCCCAATGTCACCCAGCTAGTGCACATAAAGGTAGGCTTAACCCCTACACGGCACAACTCCAGGAGTCCATGAGACAAAGTGCAAGCAGCTGCTGGACACCCCCGCAGCCATCTGCCTTAAACAGAGTTGCTCAGCTCGCCCGCATCATCGCCTTTAGAAGCACGTAGCCCTGATCCCCAGTTCATGCAAAAGCCCAAAGCAGGCAGGTGGCCCTACTCCCTTGCAATGGTGTGGGGAGGACATGCCTTCCTGGAGGTACCTGTCAGTTCTCAGTTCTGGTTTTCAGAATCTAGGACAAAAATGGCTCCAGAAATCCCATGGGTGAAATGATAGGGTGGATATGAATGAGGCTTTAAGTTTTCTTCTTGGTCAAAGCAACTCTTTTGTCTTCTTAATTCTCTAAACCCCAGATTTACACTATGCAAGATATTCTTCCAGCTCCAGAGTGGGGTCGGTTCAACATGTGGAGGGCCAAGAGGAGGCCTCAGCTCCCTGACCACAAGGCAGTGTGATGTAGGCTGTGGCATGGCCACCAAAGAACAGAGGGGGACTCATTTCCTCCCAGTGGTGTAGGAAGGTCGCGTCCCATGATGTTATTGTAACCTGGTGTGACTTAGTACATCACACACACACACACACACACACACACACACACACACCTGAAACCTGAGTTTCATGGGACAATACTTATCCTTACTTGGGGCATCCTTGAATTTTTAAAAAATTCTTTTAGATTTTTAGTCTGTTCTATTTTACTTAAAAAAAATATTAACCCCAACCTATTAAATTGGGTTCATTCTGCCATCTCCAGTTTGAAACACCTGAGTAATGTTTAGGGATTGAAATATAGGGATTAGATGTTCATAACTAATCATGGAAAGGCCATCTGGTTCTGGTAAAAATCCAAAGCTACTATGGTCAGACATATATGATTTGTCCACTGCTCTAAAGCATCACACCAAGGAAAAGACCAGAAACAGTTCCACCCCCAGAGGAGGGGATCACTGCCTAGGGAGGGGCCCTTGAAATGCTGCGTTATTTGTGCATCTGCAGGTTCTCTATGCTGGGCCCTGGGGTAGATGCTGTGGACACAGGGGAAAACAACTCAATGGGCTCACAGTCTAATACAGAAGAAGACATGCAAACAAAAGGCCGCAGTGTTGTAGGTCACCAGAACAACAGAGCAATTTCGAGCAGTCCCCCCTTACTGGTGAGGATACATTCCAAAGACCCCCAGTGGATGCCTAAAATTGCAGACGGTACCTAGACTTACATAGACTATGTTTTTTTTCCATAGCTCTCTGGATACCTATGATAAAGTTTAATTTGTAGATCAGGCACATTAAAAGATTAACAACAACGACTAATAATAAAATAGAACAGTTATGGCAATACCCCATAATAAAAGTTATGTGAATGTGGCCTGTCTTTCTTTCTCAAAATATCTTATTGTACTGTRCTTACTCTTTTTTTTTCTTTTCTAATTAACTAAAGAACTTTCACCTTTTTAYTTAAAGGAAGCAGTTTATGGCAGTTGTTTGATATATCAAAATTGTCAGCATCACTAATCTTGCACCTTGGGGGCATTATTAAGTGAGATAAGGATTACTTGAACACAAGCACTGTGATATTGCTACCACAACAGTCGACCTGATAACTAAAAAGGCTACCAAGTAACTAATGGGCAGGTAAGCCATACAACATGGATACACTGAACAAAGGATTGAGTCTCACATCCTGGATAGAATGGAGCAGAATGACACGAGATTTCATCACTGTACTCAGAATGGCACACAATTTAAAACTTATCTGCTGTTTGTTCATGKWTTTTTTTTTTTWAATTTAATATTCTGGGTTCTCAGTGGAGGGCCAGGAGTAACTGAATCCAGGGGTAAGTGAAATMGTGGAACTGGAAAACATAGATAAGAGGGACCTATTGAGTAAGGTTTTCCAGGAGTGCAGAGGAAAGAGGAAGAGCCCCAGTCTTTTTTAGGGGAGAGATACGTACAGGAGGCATGATAGGGAAGAACTGGTTTTGTGAAATAAGAATTTATTGGGCAGGGGAGAGGACAGAGAGAGCAAAGATTCCAACAACTCTCAACTGCTTTCCCACCTGCTAGCTTTTTCCTTCTCTGAGATAAGATTTCTAGCCCTACCTGTCAAGTCCTTCTGGGAGAGGCGGCCCTTTAGGATGTTAGCAATCACGTACACCTCCCTAGGACTGAATCTGAATTCTGTCCTGAAGACAAGGTCTGACAAGAAGAGASGAAGGGAGAGACTATATCGTCATTAAAAGCTTAGCAGGAAAAGGGCAAGTTAAATGTCACCAGGAGGCACCAAACTCAAACTTTGCYTTCAGATCTGGCCAGGGTCAAGTGTTTGAGGTCCCAGGGTTGGTACATGATATATAGTTCTATATACAGGTGTGTTACACCTGCTTGTTGAGTGAGTGCATGAAAAGTCAGAACTCAAAAGAAACTTTGGAATCATTTTTGGATTGTTTTGAACCCCCCACTTCCTAGATATGGCCTTGACTTTCACASCTGGTAAGCCAAATTTCTGGTTGGGCCTGCTTCATCGAAAAAATGGCATATGATCTTTAGAAATTTCAGAAAAAGAAGAATAGTAGAGATAGTAGAAAAGTAGAATAGTAGAAAAGAATAAAGGAAGTCATAGGRGAACTAAAAGTAACGTTCTGATAGATTTCTTTCTGGTATTTTTCAAGAATAAATATACATTTTTGAACTAGGATTATATCAGTTTTATTTTYCACATTTAAAATTTCCCTGTATTGGGACTATGTCATTAGTTTTTTGATCTTTGTACACATAATGTTAATGCTAATATAGTATGCCAGCATATCACTATGCATACTTTTAAAAAATTTTATTTTTATTTTTT